ATTTCTTACATTTTCAGATACTAGTCCTCAAATTAACGACCAACCGTCCTTTGCGATAGAAAAGAAAGTGGAAATGGTGGGTTGAAAATATTTGCCTATACCTTACCTGTTTGATCATATATTTTGACATAGTCTTCGTGCATGCAATTGTATTTCAAGCTTATCGCAATATATTAGCACAATATTAATTTGTCACAATTATGAGGACGAATTAGGATAAGGCGTATGGAGATTAATATTAATAATTTATTAGCGATTCCAAATTGAATTGGCTCTTCTATTTGTATAGTACTACATTTACAATGAGTAGCTATGAGGAGTTAATAAATATATACAGTACATTCGCACAGTCTCAGTACATGTTTCACAAAACAGATGTAACAAAACATAGTCATTTATACCCCGGCCCAAGCCTCTCGTGGGCCAAGTCTGTGAGATAGACTTTCACACTTGTTCTAAAAATGTTGAAATCTTTGCATTTTCGCAAACAATCTGGCAGAGAGTTCAATGCAGCTGCAACACTGTCCTGAAATGTTCTGCTTTTGTTGGCACTTCAAGTTGGATCTGTGATGATGATCGTAGAGTTCGTCATGTTACATACCGATCTACCTTAATGTATTCAGGCCAATTATTAAATTGCAATGCTTTGATTGCAGATAGAAGCACTTGAAACTGTCTTCGCTCAGTTACTGAGAGCTGTTTCTCTCTTCTCAGTTACTGGGAGCTGCTTCTCTTGCGTAACGTCCTAACACGAAACTTGCACATACATTTTGGACTTTCTGTAGTTGCTTCTGTTGGTATAGTTGTAGTGGGTGAAACACAACACCCGAATATAATCCAATTTCGATAGGATTAGGCTTTCTCCTAGCTCTTTCCGAACGTGGAATGGCGCTAAGTTGCGTAACTTCCTCAGCACAGACAAAACTCCATAACGATAAAGATTATGGGTTTTCCCCGTTAAATTGTCTTTGATGTTCACAAATTTTTATGCGATTTACTGCAAATGTAGGTTGAAATTGTATCAATTTGTCGTACGACCTAGATCTACCGAACATACCCAACGAAAATCGTTCTTCCTGCCGCTAAAACTCTTGATCCCTGGTCGCACTAAATAAGTCCCATCAATGATCCCAAAGCTAGGAATGGATAGAGAATCTGCTAGGCATTAATGAAGCCATTGATATGACCACCATAAATCTACAGTGGTGTTGTTGACATGTTAGAAGGGGTTCTTAGAGTTTCTGAGAAATTGGTTATTAGTGACCTCTCTTCCTTCTGAATTTGACCAGTGAATAATTAATGAAATCACAGCAGCCTCAAGTCTCATTAGGGAGTTTACGCATGTAAGACGGCGGCTAAATAAACTGTTTGAGAGAAATGATTCTATGGGAATATTGTTTTGTATTTGCTTTCGTAATACAGTTTGGAACGAGTAAAACAAGATCTGTAACCTTCACAGCAATGTTGATCAACTCTGCTAGAAAAATCGCTTGTCACGTCTTGAAGTGATAGCGTACTTTACGTGACGTGAAGACATGCATTTTGACGTCGTCATCAGAGCTTGGTCGATGTCTGAAACTCCTGCTATACTTTTAATTATTCATTTCTTTTGAGCTACAGGGAACTTATATTCCATCTCTTCTATCACTATGGTTAAATCACATGTCATGTGCTTCCAGTTTTTCATAGCACCGTATAATTTTTCATCTTTTTTGTCCGACTTTGGTAGGGTGAAATGGCGCACATGTTTTTTGGAAAAAGTAAGTTGATCTGTAAAGTATATGCCGACCGTCCGCTTAATAAAAGAAAAATTAAGTTACAATGTAGGAATTAGAGGAAAAGAGAAATTTATATCGTAGTACTATATTTATTAGAATAGATCTGATAAGCATTGTAGGCTATAGTAGCCTAACTACTGGGAGAAGTACCAAACACATACTACGCAGCTTTTCGAAGCGGTGAATTTTATTTGCTCCATGTCATAACAATTAATTGCATTTGTGTTCAGAACGATTTTTTCGCTTTTGAAAACCTCCTCCCAATTGGAGGAGGTTTTGTGAGCAGCTAGATACCGACTCGGAGTGAATTGTGATATTTGAGAAACGCGCGTGCAAAAACGTCTTGTGTAAATGAGGTTATAGTTCAGTTTTACGATTGTCTACTATGAACAGTTCGCGTTTTTTACACCATGCGCACAGGCTTTGTCGTCTATTTTCGCCGTGCGAAGTATATAAAACCTAATTTTGTGGAGGAAGTGGGTATTTTGGGGGAAATTTAGCGTTCTAACGCTAACTCTGAGTTAAAATTTTACTTGCGGGTTCGGTTGGTGTATTTCTGCGTGTCTGTTTATTTCAAAACTTCAGAAAATAAAAGTCTTGTTGACCTAGACAAGATGTACAAGACCTGATCATATTTAGTTATCGTCCAATAAACCTGACCAAACATCGATTTTTTCCTTCCAGTTGGCATTCGTCTTTTCTATCTCTGCATTGCCGTGTATCTCTACGGTGATCTTGCTATATATGCCACAGCCGTTCCAAAGTCAATGCGAAACGTCGTTTGGTAAGTCATAAATTAATTGTTTGTAGTTGTTTACTATTTAATCAAGAAGTGTTTTATACGGTAAAGTCTCCAAAAGGCGTATGTCAAAATGTTTCCCATAGTGAAATAACGGTCAAAATTGTCTGGAAAATTCAATATGCTTGTCGTATGCTCAAGCTCAGTCTTCTCAGTCTTGAAGCACTGCGCCGGAAATGCAGGGCCGCAGGCTCGATTCCTGCCAGAGGGCGTATAGTCGCATTTTTCGCAACTGCTCCCTGACCATAGATATCTTATATACACTAGATATGTCATCTCTTTTAGTAAAATAGAAGCCAAGAATATTCCAGCGGTTACCCCCATTTGAATACACGGCAAAAAACGCCGAGCACGTTGCTCAACAGGACTGAACAATGTTTTGCTGCCCACGTTGTTCACACTTGTCAACAATAGTGAACAATGTTGTTGAGCCTGAATCGGGTGTAACAATATTGTTCAATAATGTTGACAGCTATGAACAATGTGGGCAGCAAAACATTGTTCAATCCTGTTTTCATCAGTATTGCATCAACCTGAGCGTTTTTTGCCGTGTAGATGGCGACCATGTTGGTAGTTCCCACTCGCTAATAAACGCTTAAAAAACAACAATAACTTTCATCATTTGAATAGTTTGAAAATGTATTTGGAATAGGTTTAACTTAATGTTTAAGTTCCCTGTTTAAGAAATAGAAAACATACGAGTCTTATTTTGCAGAATAATTGCAGAATAATTAGATGCACTATCTAGTGTATATAAGATATCTATGTCCCTGACACACGGTCGAAATTTCCATCTACAAAACGCTTCTGCAATCAATCTGTTTTTAGTCCCCGAGGTAACGCGCGGTTCCAGGCGTAAGCTCGGGGCGAGGGTACTAATTCTGCAAGGCCATTTTATACACCTGGGGAAAGGAAATTAAGCATTAGCGAAGGTTAAAGTCGTGTCCTTTTCAATGTAGCCGTAATATTACCCTGTTTAGTTTAAGAAAAAACTTAAATAATTACTGAAATCAATCGATAATTTGAACTTATTTTGTTTTATAAGTTCAGAATAGTTTATCCGCAAAAGCTGTTCACGGCTGAGTCGAATGGATATTTCAAAACGCTTTAGTAGGTGGGGTAGATGGTGTGTGCTAATCATCCTCACTTACAGCTGAAAGCTAAGCTGAATAGACCTTTCCCCTTTTAAGTGAAATTTTGATCTAGACAAGTCTGGACAAAAATTAGTAATATTCCGAAGTTTCGTTGCAAAATGTTGTAAAATGCGGATAATATAGCCTTGCGAAGTTTGCCGTTTTTTCAGTCATTTTGCATTACGCACGGGAAATTGATAATCAGATGATCAAACTGATTATCAATTTCCCATTTGTAATCAAAATGACTGAAAAACGGCAAATTTCGCAAGGCTTATTTTACAACATTTCGCAACGAAACTTCGGAATATTACTACTTTGTGATGCTCTTTCAAGCTGTCATGAAATTTTTGTCCAGACTTGTCTAGATCAAAATTTCACTTAAAAGGGGAAAGGTCTACTGCGAAGGACGAAGCTCTACCTCATCCAGTCGAGCTTACTAAGGGCACCTCTGCCTGCAGCCAGCTTATGACTCTGTCTGATCATGGAGCGCAGCTACGGTGGAAAGGTCAGGTAGGGGGCTAATCTCAACCCACTCTGTCAACATTTTCTGTGGAAGGAAACCGGAGTAGCTGGAGAAAAGCCACGGCGACGGTACAGCGTTGACTAACTCACATAAGTGTCATTGTCACTCCTGCCTATAAAATACAAAACACAAAACTATAAAATACAAAACTCTGATTGGAGTTTCACTTGTTTTGTATTTTGTTAAAATACTCAGTGGTTCTAAAAACTCCTGCCTATGATAATTACTGTCGACGCTACAATTCCTCTTTATTTAGTTTGTGGCAACCAGTGGTTCCCAATTAGTTCCCAGTTTGTCATGAATCACAAAAAATCGTATTTTATAGTGAAAGTTCAGATGGCGGTGGCAACTATAGTTCTAACAACAGTTCTACACAAACTAATTCTACTTCGGACCATGGAGACAAATGCTATGGATTGGAACGTGATGCAGTTTATCGCATATTAGTGGTACGTGTAGAATATGCGTGTTGGAGCTGCAATCAGTTTCAAATATCTTGGGATAGATGCCACAAAAACCTTGAATGGCACACAATGCCATTTTCGTCAGATTTGATGCGTTTTGGCATTTGAATTGAGAAAAAACATTGATTGCATAAATTATTGTGTGTAACAAACTGTAAAAGATCGTTTTACGCCTAAAACTGCATTCTGGCCTCTGTTATGTACTAACTTGCAACGCTTTTTTTATTGTTGTGGAAGTTGTATTCATAAATATCTATATATTTTTTCGTTTATAGGCCATATTTGCTGTATTAGTTTGTCCATTTGCATTCACAAATGTCCAGAAAACCAAGTATGTACAGTACCTGACTACGTTTCTCCGTTGGCTATGTAAGTACACACTATGTAGTGGTCGCGTTATGCATTGCTGTGAACTCAGGTTAAAATCATTTCATTTATTAACCTTTTTAGTAGCCTGCGTGGCAGGCCCTCAAATTTATGGGGGGCCTGATTTGCAGCGGGCAGGATTTTGGCGGGCTCCGGGGGAGGATTCCCTGGAGCCCGCCAAAATCCTGCCCGCTGCAAATCAGGCCCCCCATAAATTTGAGGGCCTGCCACGCAGGCTACCTTTTTAGCAGCTTTTTTGAAATTGAACGAGTAGTGAAAAAGAAATTCACTACTTACTATCTCCGTTCCAGGCGTAATCCTGGGGCAAGGGTACTAACTCCGCTCGGCTATTTAAACATGATAGGCTACTATTGATTCCTCAAGTTAAATATGTGTGTTAATAATATATAAATTATTGAGAAATAAAAATATTACGTTACAAACATATAATGATAATTTTATATGACATGAATCTAATGCGAACCAGCAATTCAAAAATAGAGAAACACCGTATGTGCCTATATTAATAGAAGTTTTATGATTGCAGGTTTTAGCTTGATGATTGTTCTTGCTTTAATTCGTCTTGGACAAAGAAAAGGAAGTGGAAAACCTAGCGTTGCCGACTTTTCCGGAATTCCAGACTTATTTGGCGCTTCAGTGTATTCCTTTATGTGTCAGCATTCCCTTCCTTCACTCATAACACCACTCAAAAACAAGAAATATGTTACGAGCATTTTGTTTATGGACGTCGGAGTTGCCTTACTATTTTACAGCTTACTCTCTTTCACCGCAGTGTTTACCTTTAGTGAATCACAAATTGAAGATGTGTACACTCTTAGCTTCAAACACATAACCTCTTCAGGCATTAGTACATTCCTTGCTTTGTATCCGGTTTTTGCGTTGTCTGCTAGCTTCCCAATAATTTCCATCACTTTACGCGAAAACTTGAAGTCTCTATTCCAAAAAGATGGCAGAGAGTTTTCGTGGGCTGTAGAAAAAATCGTATTTCCGTTATTTGCTGTTCTGCCTCCGATTGTTATAGCCCTTAGCACAACAAATGTGGAGATGTTGGTCAGTCTTACTGGATCTTACGCTGGTGCTGGGGTTCATATGTTATACCGACCATGTTGACTTTCTATGGCCGTCGCAAGGCGATGGAAATGTTTCAATGTTATAACAATAATTATGGATCGTTCTTCAAGCATCGAGCATGGATTTGGATGGTTCTTTCTTGGACTTTGTTGAGTGTTGGTATTGTAACAGCATATAATATCAAAAAGAGAATATAAAGGAACAGTATTGAATCTAACAATAACATTATCGGAACACCAAATCGTTAGGGGACTTGATACCCTGAACAAGCCCATTTTTATCCCCGCCCCATATTTTTCAAATGTTTAAAAATTTGAAATAAGCAAATATAATTTGCGACATGAAAGTTTTCTCCAAATTTATTTTTAATGATATTAAAAGCCACCCAATTATGCTATAAACCGCGCTTAATTGATGGTCCTTTGTTTTCATCTGTGTAATATTTTCACCCAACAAACTAATTGCGGTATTTTGTTATTAGCTATTACCGTGAATTCTCTTTTAATTCTCTTGGGGAATAATGGGACAGGGAATTACGAGACATTGGTGTATAATAAGTAAAAAACCGTAGTATTAGTGTGGCGGATATGTGCATGGATGTTTCCGAAGAGGGTTAAAAGCACCAAATTGTGCACAGTAGCATCTTTTTATGAGTAGAACAACATGCAAAAGTGGGGCCATCGTGAAACTGTTTTTTTTTTAGAGAGGTACGATGCTATGAGCATTATTTTCTATTAAATTCTACTACAACAAAAATGTGAAATTTTGAATTCAATCGCAACAAATATAACTTGCATCATCAGAAAGCTTGTAAAAAACTACATAAAAGACTTTTAAACTGTTTTTTTATTCTTCAAATGGTTATTGTTGTGAGGCACATTATTAGGCACATTATCTCGCTAAAAGTCCCTAATTAATTATTCGATGTTTGAAAATGCGTTTTTAACAGTTTATAATTCGAAAACTATTTCAGAAATAAAAAAACTGTATAAACGTCTTATATCAGTTTTTTATAAGCTTTCTGATGATGCAAGTCATATTTGTTGTAATTGTATACAAAATTTCACATTTTTTGGCAATAATAGAATTTAATAGAAGATAATCACTAATCACCCGTTTTCAGGAGTTAGCAGCAAAATAGCGATGGCCCCACTTCAAATATCTATTAAAGTGCCTATGCAACGAATTTTTCACCTCATTTTTTATTGTTTTTCTAAAAAGTACTGCTGGAGTGATGAAGAATGACGTTTACAGTTTCGT